ACTACATCATACTCTGTCTTGTCTAAGGCTTTCGACAATACAGAGTACATCATATTCTTCTTGTTCAAAATTACTCAACATAAAGGTACTTACTGTTAAGCCTGACACTAATGGAAACTGGGGTCTGGCAACATCTAGAGAGGTTTCCAAATCCTCCTCTACAGCCAACATGGTTCAATTTAGTCCTTGTATTGCATCTGCACTACTTTTTCCTTTCTTGGGAAATTTCCTTAACATCACCAGTACTCTTTGGCAGAAAAGGCTAAAAATGTTGTAAAACTAAAACTCTCGTGATTCCATAACACTGAGTCAGTTAAAGTAGTGTTAAACTGCATTAATTCTACATTATAGATGCAAACTTGAAAAAGTCTGAGGGACTACAACTCCCAAAATCTGCCAATCAGAATGACCAATTTTTCCAAACTCTGCTTCAGTTTTATTTGCATTTATAGCAGAAAAGCATTTTGGTATTAATAGCAGTTTGGAAATAATTAGATTGTCCACTAACTGAAATGAATGCAAATTAATGGGCTGGATGAGGAAAAGCAAGCTGAATCTAGACAAGACGGAGGTGCTTTCTGTCAAGGTCCTAAACTGAGTTTGGAGGAGTATCAGCCAGTCATGGAGTTATACTCTTACTGAAAACTGTGTTCACAGTCTGGGAGTGCTTCTGGATCCATCATTCCAAATAACAGCTCATATAGAAGGAATGGCCAGGAGAATCTTTTATCAGCTTCAACTCCTATATTACTTGTGTCTCTTCTCTTCCTAGAGCAGGAGGATGTAAAAATGCTGACTTTTTACAATTCACTGTATATTGGGCTACGTCTGTACCAAGTTTGGAAACTTCATTTAGATTGGTTATGGTGCATCTGGAAATGATCATGTTACACCGATATTAAAATCACAGCACTGATTGAAATTAGGTTCCAGGCAAGGTAAAATGGTTTGGGTCCAGATTACCTTTGGGATTGCCTGTTTCCATACAACCGGCCCTATACTTTCTGGGATACATTTTCTTGAGTCGGCAGGTTGGCAACTGTTATCCAGAGGACTTTTTCTTAGCCATCTCTAGACCTACCAGAAGAGATCCAACAGCTGAAATAGCTTCCAACTCCTGTTTCTCCAGTACTGCATTTGATGAAATATATCTTGTCTAGGTATTTGCTAGGACCTTTATGTAATTCTGTAGAATGCTTCAGCTGGAAGTTGACCATAGTGTCATGCTGAAGGACATAGCAATGACTAGAGACTTCTGGCAGAAAAAGTTCCGTCAGTAGAGTTCCCAATTTGCATTTTTGCATATTAGGATAAAATCCTGGAATGATTTCTCAGTGGATTTTGGGGATGGTTTGATGTCTGAATTTAAAACAGGCCTTTTCAGATTATTTTAAAAGTATGATTGTTGAATTAGGGATTTTAAAGTATGGGATTATTGTTTTAGTACATGTTGGTCTTACATGTTCGTTTAAATGGATGCTGTATGTTTTAACCAATGGATGTGTTTTTAACTGTTGTTAGATGGGTTGTTGTAGGTTTTTCGGTCTATATGGCCATGTTCTAGAAGCATTCTCTCCTGATGTTTCTCCTGCATCTATGGCAGGCATCCTCAGAGGTTGTGAGGTCACCTCACAACCTCTGAGGATGCCTGCCATAGATGCAGGCAAACATCAGGAGAGAATGCTTCTAGAACATGGCCATATAGCTCGAAAAACCTACAACAACCCAGTGATTCCAGCCATGGAAGCCTTCGACAATCTGTTGTTAGATGTTATATCTTAATCTGTTGTTCGCTACCTCTATCTACTGAGAGAGATAGGCAAGAAATAAAATCACCACCAACACAATAAAAGAATTATGTAGCTTCTTTTCATATTAGTGAGGTTTGCTTGAGGGAAGTTGTAAGCACATTATGGTTGTTTCAGTCAGTGATTGTAACAAAACATGACACACGCGTAAACCTGGTACTTTTTTAAAAAATGAGAAAGAAGTAAAGGAAAATCTGCAACCTTGTAGATAACAGTGCTCTTTTATACATTTCAATTGCCAATGACTCAGTAGGAGAGGCTTTCAAAAGAAGGGAAAAGGTCTTCATAGCAGTAGTAGTAGTAGAACTTTACTATCAATGTGTATTGTAATATTAAGGATTACAGCAGTATGTCGTACCATTCCCTTGAGTGAAGCTGATACATGGGGCACGGACCATTCATTTGTTGGAGCCATTGCTTTCCCCCTCCCCTTCCTATTATTACTTGAAAACGCGCTGTCGGATGTGAATAAAATCAATTATGGGATAAAATTGCCTGTTTCAAAAGCTTCATTTTGTACTATTAGTACGTGAAAGGGACTGGGATATGGAGTTAACAATAACCAGAAAAAGAAAAAAAAAGATCAATTATTGGATAAGATCACTTTTTTATTATTTTCACTCCGTTTTTAGTGTCAGGCTGATTGTACCGGTTTTGAATTTCTCTGTACTACAAACTAGTTGAGATCAAAGAAGTTGTGGTTCTGTAATGATGTGATGTTATCAGGGCACATTGTGTGAGCTTCCATAGAGTGGGGACAAAGGCATTGTGTGAGGCTGTCCTTTCAGTTTGACTCTTGAGCAGATGAGAATTTTGAGGCAAGGAGCTCTAAATACGGCTCTAAGCCTGGGACTGTGCCTCAGATTGCAAGGGTGGGGGAGGCAAAGGCAAACACAGCAAGTATGGTCCTAATTCTGAAACCAGAACATGTAATATAATCACTATATGGATCTAGTATATCTTGATTTCAATAGGGATTTTGACAAAACGCCCTTGATATTCTAGCAGGCAAGGTGGTAAACTTTGTGCTAGACAGTGTTATCTTTCATTGGATCTGTAATTGGTTGACAAACCAAATCCAGAAAAGTACTTGCCAGTGGTTCGTCTTCTTCCTGGAGAGAAACGACTAGTGTTCTGTCCTGAGTCCAGTGTTGTTTAACATCTTGATAAATGGAATAGAAGGTATGTTTGTTAAGTGTGCAGATGACATCAAATCTGAGGGCCAAGGGATTGGGGTAGCTAATACCCCATAGACCAAGATCAGAATGCAAAATTACCTTGAGAGATTTTATAGCAACCAAAACTGATAAGAAAAATGAAAGATATTACCTTAGGCAGGAAACATCTGCCTAAGGTAGATAGGCTAGATGACACTTGGTTTGTCAATGGGAAAAATGAAAGACATCTAGGAGACTTAGTAAACCACAAGTGGAACATGTGTCCATAATAGGAGTATTATTTCTAGATCGAGGGAAATAACACTTCTTTGCTCTGTTTTACTTCTGCAATTAAAAACATATTGAGCTTCTCTCCCAAGTTGACGAATAGCTCCTTCTAGTGTCTGGATGTTGCCTGTTTGGTTACTTGAAGATCAACAGTTGGAGAGTGAGTTTGTCCTGGGAATATTGTACGCTTCTGTGGGAGGGTTGGGAGGATGATGAGGTAAAGTTGCTTAAATATCTTGAAGTAGTTATGTAGATTATGTGTAATGTCTAGTTTAGCATTGAGTCCCATTCTCTTTGCATGTAGCTTAAACCCACAAGGAGGACAGCACAGTAATCCTGACCCCTTCATTTTTATTTTTGTCGCTATCAATGCACAATGAATAATATTCCAAAGTGAGAGTCTTCATGATTGTGGAGCCTCTCTTTGTGAGTTGGAAACCCCCAAAATTGGGTTTCCAGGTCATTTAGAGAAAATTCACAGACAGTGGAGGTTTTCTTTATGTGCCCTTGCTCCCCACATATCAGAGAGAATAACAGAAGTTGAGACAGAGAGGGTTATCTTGTTACCCTTTCTCATATGTTTAGTTTGGGCATGAAATAAAGAGTAGAGTTTGATTCTGCTTCCAAAGGTTAGGGGTGTTAGGAGTAAGTATGTAAGCAGAGCTCAGAAACAGGTGGAGAGGAAAAGTTGTATATGAGGATGATTGGCTTTCTGCTTCTTTATTATTCCAGGATGGTGACACTATGTCATGCCCAGTGTCAACTTGGTGGCTAGAAGTGATTGCTACAGGATTCTGTAATTTAAACTTCATTTCCATTTCAGCAGTCAAATGTTATAAAGCTATGTTATATTTTCAGTGTATTAGTATGTGCATTTGCATGTTTTTCTTGAATTTTTTTCAGTGAAGATGATATACTTTTTATTCTTACTAGGTGCAGATCTGAGTTATGCTGATTCAAAACATCAGTATGATGAGTGTGCATGAGTATTTCTCAGCACAGAAGTGCCAAATGTAGAGAAAGTACATTTTTCATTCCTGAATTTTCTTGCACTGACATTACAACTTGCGCTAAACTTATTATGAATAATGTGTATGTCATGTTGATTCAGCAACTGGTTTTTGGGGCTGGGGGAGACTAACACAGACAGAGGCACTCAACATATGTGTATTGTTGTAATCAATTGTTTCAAGGAAGAGCTGAGTCCTTGCTGGCTGCCACTGAATCTGCACAGTTGAATAATATAATCAAATTCAGAAAAGTACTAACATGAACTGTATTCGTTCTAATTGCAGGCATTATCTGATATAGTTTTAGTGCTTCTTCATATTGAACTCTCTCTGTAAATAGAGAGCTAGTGCAGTTCTTTGCTGTTGTCATATTCTATGTGTAGGGAATCAAGCATTATTCTTTTTTAAGAACAAGGGCATACTCAAAAATATTATCCCCCATCTTCAGTGGAAAGCTGATAGTGCACTGTATTACTTTAGCATCTGCAAAACAATTGGGACTTGTAATTGTATTTAGGCTTATGCGCCTACATACAATGTATGTAGGAGCATAAGCCTAAATACAATTGCTAGTCCCAATTTATTTGATCCAGTAAATCATGTTTTGTTAGAATTAACAATTTAACATGCATCCAAGGAAGATAACTTTTATGATAACACAACAGGAATAGCAATAATATTCACATTGGATACCAGTGGTTATAATTCTGATGTCATGTTTGCTTGTATATCAACAGGGTTCTGACATTGATTGGGATGACCTCTGGGATCAGTTTGAAGAAAGAAAATACCTGAGTGCCCGGAAGTGGAAGGGTGGTGAGGACCCATATCGACTATATGCCTTCAACCAGCGGGAGAGTGAGAGGATCCCCAGTGATCGTGCCATTCGCGACACTAGGCACCACAGGTTTTATATTCTTATTTTCCTACTTGTATATTCCAGAATACACAGTTATCATTAAAATATGCATCTGTGTGGGCTCTTTATCTTTCTCACACACATACATTGACTATTCCTTACATTGTTGCTGTGTGCCTTCAAGTTGATTCTGACTTATGGTGACTCAAAGGCGACCCTATTGCAGGATATTTGTAATTAATAGCTTTCAGATTCTGTGGCAAAAAATGGGATATCTGTTGCCATCTAGCTGTCAATAATAATAACTTCTATCAACCATCACCATCACCCAGGCTCACAGGGGTTGGTGGTTGTAGGAATTCACCAATAGCTAGAGAGCCACAGATTTCCCATCCATGTTCTGTGATTTACAGTGGCATAAGGAGTGCATTGTAATTATTCCTTCTGACAAGATAGAAGAGAGTTAATGGCTTTTTAAGAATAATTCATAGTGTGTTTATCTTTAAATTGTCAAGTGTATTATTTTTAATAATAGTAGCCACTATGATTCTCCTTTAAGAGCGGAAAGTGGAATAACAATAAAGTTGCATTAATTTTTTTATTTTATATAGGTATATCATTCTTTTTTAGGTGAAAACTTTCTTAAAGGCAGTTTACTGTAAAATATAAATGAAACAAACATGGAGAGACAGACCTTTTTCAAAGATTTCAGAGAGGAAGTTGTTATTATGTGAGAGCATAGAGAAAAGGAACTAAGAAGCACAGGGAAGGGTGCATTGTGCAGTGGCATAGGTTACTTTGTATGTCAAAAGGGGGCATATTTATAAACAAATCAGGACTTTCAGAAGTTGCTGATTCCTCCAGAGAATCACAATGAGCATCAGTCCCCAAAACTAATGTAGTACTAGGAATATGCTTTGTCCTTCTGTCCAAAATAACTAAGGTGATCTTCGAAATGAAACCAAGAAGACAACAAAAGAAGGATATTTATTCTAAAAATAAACCAGCTTCTTTCATAAAAATTGGACAAATTCTTGCTTGGATCACGCAGATAGATCAGAGATGGGGAAATTTAGGAAGGGTGGTGAAAGTTCATACCACTCAAAATGGTGAGCCTTTGAGCCCCAAGGCTGACCAAGAGTCACAATCAGAAGCTACCTCTAGTTGCAATTTCTGTGTTTTGGGGATTTTATGGAACTGTTTTGAGATATATGGAGTAAATCTGACAACAGATTATTACCTAGTGTGGGGTGCCTTTTTATATTGGGGATGCAGGTGGCTTGAGCTTCAGAAGTTGGGTCTGCAAGTGACTTGCAGGCCATTTCTTCCTATCCCCTGATCTAAATGTTCTGGATGAATGCCCTAAACAAGTAGGTCATGTAACTAGTAGGTGTGAAACACCCCTGTAGTTAAGTATTGCCCCTAGACAATGTAATGAAATGTAATTGTTGTTGTGTCATCTGGAAATTGTAAACATGGTGCTGTCCAATTTATTTCATGTACAACGGGAAATTGCCAAGAAATCAAGACAGTTGTGTTTGACTTGAAAAGATGAAATTTCTTTCTAAAACTTTGAAGGTACAATCTGCTCTTGATTTTCATTGGTTCTGACTCATGGATTCAATTGGAAGTCCCAGAACTCTAATCAAGATCCCAGTCCTATGATTCATGACCCATTATGGTACCTATGTGTACCATAAGACCAACATCTGAGGCTCTCCTTTCAGTATTTCCACTGAGATTTGGAGGATGCTCAAAAGGATGGGTGTTTTTTCTCTCCCCACAGTGTATTCTCACCTGGCACCAATAATATAACCCTCCATGACCATGGGTTCTGAAGCCACTGATTCAACAAACCATGGATCAAAAATTTTGCCACATGACAAGTACTATGCCACATGGAGAGCATTATGCGGATGTATTGTCGAAGGCTTTCATAGCCGGAATCACTGGGTTGTTGTAGGTTTTTTCGGGCTATATGGCCATGTTCTAGAGACATTTCTCCTGACGTTTCGCCTGCATCTATGGCAAGCATCCTTAGAGGTAGTGAGGATGTGTAAATATACAGTGCTGTAGCCTGCCATTTCACAGATCCTCAGACTTTTTCTGGCCCCCATTTGAATTGTTTCCCATTTTATATAAGGGACATCATTTTACAAAATAATTATATATGACGAGGCTTATGCATCCATAGATTTTGTATCCATGAAGCGGTCCTGGAGCCAAACCCCTGTGGATAAGTAGGGCCTATTCATAATAAGAATAATAAGAACATTGAAAGCCTAAGTTAAAAATCCATGAACAGTGCTCGTATTACCTGAGCTACGGAAGAGATGCATCTCCTATCACAGGAAGCAAAGCCTGAAAATAAATAAATCAATTAGAAATTTCTAAACTAGTTTCCTGTAGAAAGTGCTCCTTCACCCTTCCCCTGAAACCTTAATATAACAATCCAGGCAGGAACCAATCTATACTAGATAATATTGCATCAATGCTTAACTGCGAGCGCTGCTGAGATTTCCATTTGCTTTCAGACTAGCCAGATGCTGTTTCCTCCAGAGGGAAGTTAACAGTCCTTATGGGTGTCGGTTAATAGCTAAGCAGAGACTATGTCATTGCTGGAGAGAAATAACAAATGGAATATTTGCCATCTGCCCAGTTGAAGGCAGAAGTAGATTTCATTCAGCCATCTTACAGCGACACCAGAGGCACTCCAAGCGGCCAGCTTCTGGTCAAAGGAAGTGTAGTATGATGCCAAGTTTTTAACTTGTCTGTGGTTTTTATACATTACAACTGTATTCTCAATTCACTTCTGACATGATAAATAAATATAGATAAGCCATCACTTTGATCTGGAATCTGTATTCCAGCACATTTACTTTGTATGGGCTGAAGTTTTTAGTAATTCTTTGAAGAGAAGTTGTCAGCAATAGATTAAGAGATGGTCAGAACCTAGTCATAAAATGGACTATTTATTTATTTATTTTGAGCATTTATATCCCATCCTTCTCACCTCCAAAGAGAAACTCAGGACGGCTTATAACAGGCAGCCATTAGATGCCAAAACAATACGTTAAAAATCACAGTAACAATTAACACTGTTAAAACAATTATAAAATAAGTGGGAATTTGATTTATTTGAAGATATAGAACCAAACTGTGGAGGATGCACCATCAGCTAAGTACTTGAGTAAGTATCTGTGGAAAGAGGAATGTCCTGATATTCAAGAACAGCAGACAATAGATATGTTGGGAACGTAGAAAGGGCAGAAAGCATATGTAGCAGGAAGAGAGGAGGCAAAGAAATCCCAGTGGAAAATACATCTGTCCCTGGATAGCTCTTCGAGAGATTCAGCAGACACATTCTGGCTCCACAGCACTCTTTGGAGAGTATGCTAATGTGTCAAAAGTGGAGGGGCTGTGCGCAGCATCTTTGAGTGTCTAGAGCTGTCAAGTGGGTTAGTGGAAACTGTCAATAACAGGACAAATAATGGAAGTGGGGAGAATTTCTAAACTCCAATAGAAGGGTCAGTGACAGCTTTCTCTAACAGGTGCTAATGCAGTAAACATGCAAAACTCTTTTTGATGCTAATGGCATTCCCCCCCTGTATGCATTTATCCCATGCATTGACTGAATGTAGCTTTTTTTAAACTTAAAGAGTCCTGATGGGATCAGTCTTCCTTACCATATATATAGTCCATCAGTGGAGCAATCTCCAACTTAGCAGAACTCAGCCTTTTTGGCTGGTGGAAAAAATTCTAGAAGTTGTATCCCAAAAGAGTAACTTTTCCCAAGTGCTGCACATTTGATGCATAAGAATTGCAGGGTCCAGGACCCTCTTGAATAGCAACTAGAAGGACTCCTGACTTTTACATGAAGATGGGCTTGAATTCTGGCCTGGATTTTCCCACACAGACATGTTTCTCCGTCCTCTGCCAGTAGGGTAAAACCAAACTCATGAGCCATTTCCAATCATTTTGATTGGCTTATCTTGGTGATTTTTATCCCACTTCTTAAACAAGCTTCAAAACTCAATAAAACCATTATTTTTTGCTTTCAAATCTAACAATAAAATAAAAATTAGAATACTTGGCTAAAATTAGTTTTTTTTAAAAAAAAGCCTTAGCCAAAGTTGCTAATTTTTAAAGTAAAGCTGGAATGGGTCCAGAGGAGGGTGACTAAAATGATCAAGGGTCTGGAGAACAAGCCCTAAGAGAAGCGGCTTAAGGAGCTGGGCATGTTTAGCCTGAAGAAGAGAAGGCTGAGAGGAGATATGATAGCCATGTATAAATATGTGAGAGGAAGCCACAGGGAGGAGGGAGCAATGACTTCAAACTACAAGAGAGGCGATTCCATCTGAACATGAGGAAGAACTTCCTGACTGTGAGAGCCGTTCAGCTATGGAACTCCCTGCCCCGGAGTGTGGTGGAGGCTCCTTCTTTGGAAGCTTTTAAACAGAGGCTGGATGGCCATCTGTCAGGGGTGCTTTGAATGCAATATTCCTGCTTCTTGGCAGGGGGTTGGACTGGATGGCCCATGAGGTCTCTTCCAACTCTTTGATTCTATGAAATATTTTCCTCTATCTAGTATACATGGGCATTTGAAGTTAATTAAAATATTTATACAATTTTCCTGCCTCAATTTAGGATACCAAGATCACTTTAAAATTATTTTAAATCAAATTTAAAAACAATACATGAAGCAGCATGGCATAAAACAGCATGAAACTTACCTTACGCAAGGAAAATAACACCAGCTCAAACCTGGCGTGAAGGTAAGTGCAGTTGGAGGATACTGCAGAGTTTGCAAGCAACTCCAGAGTGTCTTCTGGGTTTGTGGCCATTTGGAGCTGAATTTGGTTTCATTCGGTTAGATCCATTGTCCAAATGCATCACCCTTAGAGAGCCTAGCTGTTGCGATCACAAATAAGACCCTAATAGTAAATAGTCTCTGAAAACTGCATGGTTTTCAAAGATTTTCTTGCAGGAAGAAGGAAATTGCTAAAATTATTCATTGCTTCATTTGAGAAGAAACTTACTGAAGAATG